ATCTCTTTAAAGATATCGTATTAATAAATGTAATTTATAAACGAAATTATCAATAAGCTATCATACGAGGTCAACACTCTGAGAGATTTGGTGCTCATGTCGAAGGAGAGCAGATGTATTAGCATTAGAAGATCGAAGCGAACGAATTGATTGTTCAAGAGAGTGTAAATCTTCTTGAACTTTCTGAACTATTGCTTTAGTACGATAACAGAGATCGTCCATGTTTCTAAAAAAATTACCCTGAACAATTCGACATATGAAGATGGTATTTTACTCTTTAAAAATTATAAATTGAACTAATATAAAACGCATAAAGAACCGCACTCCTTAAGTAAGTTAAAGAAGCAAGAGATCGAAAACTATTAAACCTATACATGAATATTAAAATTTTTAATAGAAAACAGTTTCGTATCGTTATACAATAATCATTCCTCCATCGAAATAGATCATAAAATGACCAAATATATTAGATTGTATGGAAAAAATGTAACAAATCTCAAACCTTGAACAAATTATAGCACATATCGGTTGAAATATCGTGAGGATAGAAAATGGTAGAATCAGGCATATTAAACAATTTCATTGTATAAATAAAAAATAACGGTGAAACATAAAATTAAAAACTGAAATTTGGAATTAATAATGTTTATTTGGGGTTTTACAAGAGGTTTTAGATCGGCCGCGTAACAAATGTAACACCCAAAACCTTCGCAATAGGTGGCCGAGTTTCTGCAAATATAAACAAATTCTATAGTTTTTTAATAAATTTTAAAACGTTCTAACCTAAATTTAATTACTAAACGAATCTAATGAGAAGGGTTCAAAATCAGATGTGAAATTGGGTCAAATTTGAAATTTAAGAAAAGCCGTACTTGTGATAAAATATTTATTTTGTTTAGTTAAAAATTCAGTTACTAACATAAACATCGAACAAATAAAACTTGATTACACCAATTTATTCAAGTCGACATCAGGGGAAGGAAGTCGTTGCCATCATATTTGTACGTTTGATTTGATTTATTAACTAATTCAAGAGGTTTATAATTCCAAAAGCTGAATTATTGATGCATAAATTGTTACATGTAAGGAATTTAACTTTCAAATACCGATGGACCTTTAATATAATTTGTACTTATTGTTTATAAAATTAGTAGAAGTATTACCTTCACATATTGGGAGTGTACACTCAACCCACATGCCCTCTATGTAACCTACAGGAGGAAATGGAGAAGACCCACCTGATTTGATATCCAGCCCTAAAGACAAGAACGGAAAGCCAAAGATACTGGGAAGCAAGAAGACAGCTAATGAATTGCTATTAAGTAACTGCTATAAATGTACCCCCCCCCCCAACCTTGGGGGAAGCTGAAGTCAAAGATTAAGGGCTAATGATAAATATCATAAAGCCTGCCATTTGAAATATATATATTACGAATTACAAAATAGTTAATTATCTTACGTGATTAATTGAATATTAATTGTCTAGATGAATGACTTTTAAATTTCCCTTGACAAAACTATTTGGGCTCGGTGTTGACGGATAATTCATGCATACCTACAGATAAAAGCTATATAAAGAATAATTTTCAAATATCTGGTAGATAAAATTTCAACTATCTGCTATTATCATATTACCAAATAACCAATATACTTTCTACAACTGCCAAAAACATCTCTGTTGTCACATTCCTAACTTAGCATACTATCTGAAACTTGGAGATAATATTTCTCTCTGAAATATGTTTGAAGAACGTTCTATAATCTCAACACATTATATTACTATCAAACCAAATTTGCTTAATTAAGATGGCGAATGGAATTGCAGCTTTAGAGAATTGCTTGAATTAAATGAAGATAAATGATTTATAAAATTTTTAATTTTAAAATCGTTATACTTGCATCAAATGAAAAAACTATGCACGAATTGGCTAAACCTAACTCACCTTGCTAATGCTTTAAGAGTTTAAATTAACCAAAATATCTGAAATTGACCAATTATTCGATAAGGGTGTGTTTTTGATTTTTAAGGTTTTTTTGACTTTCCTCTATTATTCATTGGGCTTCCTTGTATGATTAGATTTATAAATGGCTTTTCTATCATTTATTATTATTTTGAATCTGTAATTATCTTTACTTATCGCATATGTTTTTTGTCTTTGCGAATTTGTTGCTTTTTTGGATTATCTTACAAATATCAATTTTGTATAACTGAAGTTTAGTTGTTTGTTTTTTCCAGTTGGTTTATCTTGAAATGTCCAGTGAAAGACAACAATCTTTTATTGAATGCAATATGGGAGCCAAATCTCCAATGCCACTCTCTCCGTCGAGAGAATTCCATAACGTTCTTCACATTGATATTATTCCTTCACGTTTCCTCATTACTCCAGAAATTGAAAATCTTCTACGCAAAATTGCAGTTCAATTCGTTGGTTTTATTCAAAAGAAACATTCCCACTCCCGAGTTGCTGTATCCTACCCTCAATGTTGTGGACAAGCTGGCATTCCAAACTCTTTGTTTCAAGACTTCAAGAATCCTCAGATTTGGAGGTGCTATCCTAAGGTATTGATGATTATCTTGTGCTTTTAAATGTACGGACCTTGTTGGTTTCCTTGTCACTTCATTATTTAATTCATCATTGAATGAATATTCCATCATTAAAATTGGCTGCAGTGGATCTATACAGTTTATTTTATACCTTTTATTATTACTTTATCAATTTGTATTGCCTGTTGATACCGATATAATTCTAATAATATTCCTGCATGATTTAGTTCGATGTCCACAATCGTTGTGAAGCAAAATACGATCAAATGTCCCCTTATGCACAATCCTGGGACTCTATTCATACAATTTTCAAGCAGTTCCTTTCTTATCGGAGTTGTATTGCGTCGATTCAGTCGCTTCCAGTGGGTCTGTGCCCATCGAAAGATCAAACATTCATGAAAACCTTGTGTTCTGCCAAGCCTTTCACTCATTTTTTTGATCTGCGTCTCGCTGTTCCTACTTTGCATCCTGATGTAGGTTATCTACTAGCAACCCCACCATCGCTTCCTTGGTCTCTCTCTGTTGCTCTAGAATTCTTCCACCTACAAGCTGTGAATGAAGAAGAAAGTGGGTGTAATAACACTAATCTCACGACTGACACAGTTGGAGTGCTGAGAAATTGGATTGATTTTATGCTCTATGGAACCCTGATTGAATCCGAAGAAGAAAAGATAAATCATTTGGGCGAAGAATGGGTAAATGAAATATTCACTTTTTTCTTACCAGTCACAAAGTTGTATCAAGTCATGCAACTAAGAGGCATTGGTTGTGTCGTTCATTGTGGTATTTTGATCACCTAATGCTATTGCTTAATAAGGTTTGTAGTCAGATTAAACTGAATTAGTCCTTCTATTCAATTGTTGTGAGGTTTAAAATGCTAACCGACTCTTAAAATACAACAGAGCAGGGCTTTGTTCCTATTCACGGAATATATAAATAGCAGTTCGTATTTTCTTCGAATAATAATAATTATGATAGAAAAATGCGTTTTTAATATGCCTAGCAGATGCCACCTGGAATTTTGTTTAATTATCCCATTTTCAAACCATCGCTCAAGGTGTAAAGCCAAAACGGCTCTATGGTTTTCATATTTTGAATGCTCCCAGTGAGAGGAGTTGTTTGTTTTCAATGGTTGTTCGAAATGCACTAACATATGCATATTTGGACAATTTTATTTTACTTTATGCTTTTATGAGCCATTGCTATTTTAGTGAAAGTGCCACAATGTGATCTTTTATTGAACCACTATTTTGTGAGAGCCACATTCGATGGTCAAAACGTTTTCTGCTGTCCTAAGTCAATGTGAAAAAGGAGACAAAACCGATCATCTTATCTGACAACAGTAAAGGAAAGAGTATGATGTGCAACTTTAAATATGGTACTAAGAATAATTAGCCTAGCTTAAGGAATTGTTGTGGGTAAGGCCTAAAAGTAGTGGTGTCTAAATATTTGCTCTCTTCCGTTTCAGATTCGAACAACAAGCAAATCATCAGCACATTCTAACTCTTCTTTTCCAGCAATGATGACGCTTGTTTTGGACTGCTCCAGTTTGATGCCTTCAGAGATTCCCCAGGCAGGTGATTTGGATGAACAGTTTTTCAAATTAGACAAGGCTTGGCAAGACGCCGTTCATCTTGGTGTTCAGCAGTCTAGGGGGGGTATAGTCCTCATCTCCCCCAAACAGCTTGAGAATTCAGATGATTTGTTTAAACTTTTTGATGATGCTGACACGGTTTGTCACAAGCGTTTCGCCCAGTCCAAAGACCATCAATTTCATTTAAAACGATGGGAATAGAAGTAATCAGCGAAGCAGACATTTATCACATTTGTAATTGATCCTATTTGTGCGTATTGTACTAAGGTCGTGTGTTTTACAGACGAAATTTTTGATACTTTAATTGCTTTTTACGCCAAATCAACTCAAGTTCTTCTATTTTCTCCATTTAGACCACATTTCCTAAAATTTGTTTGTCTCAAACTAATAGGGTGCGTATTTCAGCAAGATTAAGTAGAACTGAAGGGTTTAAACGATATAAGGGTGGGAGCTACCATTTTTCCTTATAGCCACTAGCGGTTGTGGCCGAGTGTTTCCGTTTCTTACCTACAGCAATAATTAAACAATATGAGGTCTGGCAGAATTGAAATCATAGGGTTCTGAACACCTGTTAGAGCGTATCTTTTGTTCCAAACGTGGGCACTTTTCGCACTAATGTGGAAGCGTTTCTAAAGATCTTAAGGCGAAAGCTGTATCTTCAAATAGTTTGGAATCTAACACCTAGCTGATATTAAATGATGCAGCACGAGATGTTTCGCCTCCAACTGCTATTAAATGTTGATTTAAATATTGCCGCCAACACAATTGGACCGATTTATATAGTAATACCGCAATTAAGGCTTAGCCATTTTGTAGCAGTGAAGTAGACGGGCGGCACCTGGTTTCTAGCTCAAACGTCTTTGAAGTCCGATCAATACCATCGGATCAAAAAACTAAATATGCGTTAGAGGAATGGCAAAATTGATCTTTCAATGTCTCTGAAATAATTCAAGCACTTTTAGAAAATTGATTTGAAGGCGTTGAAAGATCAAAATAGTGTGAATAGGGTTTTTTTCGCCCAAAAGCCGCTCAATTAAGTAAAGGGATCTCCATAGTCCCACTTTTTAAAGTGGAGCAAATTCGTTCATTTATTTCTTGTAAAGTGGGGCGTGCGATAGACTTACCTCCGCGTGGTGCACCCTGGGCAACGTATACTCATACGGCAAAAAAGTCTATTAATTGGCAGTTGACTTCTCACTTCAAACTACCCTAAAAAAGTCTATTATTCGGCAGTTGACTTCTGACTTCAAAGCGGCAAAAAAGTCTATAAACCGGCAGTTGACTTCTCACTATCGGCAAAAAAATTCTATTAACCGGCAGTTGACTTCTGACTTCAACGCAAAAAGGTCTATTAACTGGCAGTTGACTTCTCACTTCACAAAAAAGTCTATTAACCGGCAGTTGACTTCTGACTACTCAAACGGCAAAAAAGTCTATAAACCGGCAGTTGACTTCTGACTGAAAATCAAAAAGTCTATTAATCGGCAGTTGACTTCTGACTATTTCCACAGTAGCTCACCCCACTGTATGTCATATTCGACCCCTTCCACAGTACGCCACCACCCCACTGTATGTCATATTCGACCCCTACCACAGTACTAACCCCACTGAATGCCGTATTCTACCACTTTTACAGTATCCATCACCCACACTGTATGTCATATTCGACCCCTTTCAAAGTACTCATCTTACTTTAACGGTACAAGTCTATTAATCGGCAGTTGACTTCTGACTTCAATTACCATCAAGTCTATCAACCGGCAGTTGACTTCTGACTTCAAACTACGTCTATCAACCGGCAGTTGACTTCTCACTTCAAACTACCAATCAGCCCGACTGCTTGTCATATTCAACCCCTTCAACAGCACTCGCCCCACTGTATGTCATATTCGACTACTTCCACAGTACTCGCTGACTCCATGTCATATTCGATCATTTTCACAGTACTCACACAAACCGGCAGTTGACTTCTGACTTCAAACTACCATGACCAGATCTATTAACTGGCAGTTGACTTCTCTATGTCATATTCGAAGTCTATAAACCGGCAGTTGACTTCAAACTATCGGCAAAAAAATTCTATTAACCGGCAGTTGACTTCTGACTTCAACGCAAAAAGGTCTATTAACTGGCAGTTGACTTCTCACTTCACAAAAAAGTCTATTAACCGGCAGTTGACTTCTGACTACTCAAACGGCAAAAAAGTCTATAAACCGGCAGTTGACTTCTGACTGAAAAGGTCTATTAACTGGCAGTTGACTTCTGACTTCAAATAAAAGTCTATCAATCGGCAGTTGACTTCTCACTTCAAACTAAAGTCTATTACCTGGCAGTTGACTTCAAACTACCATGAGTAAGTCTATTAACTGGCAGTTGACTTCTGAGTTCAAACTATCATGACCCCAAGTCTATTAATCGGCAGTTGACTTCTGACTTCAATTACCATCAAGTCTATCAACCGGCAGTTGACTTCTGACTTCAAACTACGTCTATCAACCGGCAGTTGACTTCTCACTTCAAACTACCAATCACCCCACTGTATGTCATATTCGACTACTTCCAGAGTACTCCCATTTTCATATTCGAATAATTCCACAGTATTCACCCTCGCCTATTTTCTACCTTTGTGTCTTCTGTCACTTTTACGTCTGTGAATCATTATTCTTTCCCCTCTCAACTTTTTACCACTTGGATATTCATCTTCCTTTCTGTCAAGCCCGAAGTCAACTAAAGGGCTAATGATACCTATCTTA